TACACTTGTATGCTAACAAATACATTTGTAATAATTCTTTTCTTTAATAAAACTCTAAATACTTAACCCAGAAATTACATTTTAACTTGAAATACATTTAATCGATAAACCTTCAGAAGCTCTCCATAAATCTTGCATTATAAATTGTGAAGCTAAATCCTTTGTTAATCTTGCGTCAATACTAATTTTCAGTCGTTAGTATCGTAAGATAACAATATATAAAATATTTTAAGAAGAACTAATTGAAATTTTGGATCAAATGAGCTTCAAGAAGCTCTTCAATTAGGTATTAATAAAGCTTTAGATGGATTTCTTAAATGGATGTTACTATGGATTCATTTACCTTTAAGCATTTGTCAATTAGAAAGCAATTATAGACAAGAATTTGCACATGCATTTTTATATGTTTTTTTTCCAAAAAGTATTCTAATTTTTCTTGGTGTGAAGATTCTTATATTGAATTTTTAGATGATGATTTACAAAATATTATTGTAAATACCTTTGGATTAATGGAAGCATTTCAAGAACCAAAACTTTTTTAAAGAATTTGAAGATTTTTCAAATTCAAGTTCTAATGAATATTGGAAGTTTCCTATTGTATTACTCCTTTATTAAATAACAAATTTGGTCAATTGTTGTACACCAGCAACAATTGGAGGGAATGTTTAACCGATATGATATAAAAGTGCATCCAAATATGAGTAAGGAATTACAGGAATCAAGAATCATTCTTGCAGGTCCAGGTAATGAAAGTATAAATATTACACAAGAAAAACTTCAGAAGATCCGCCAAAAATTCAGAGAAAAAAAGTTGAAAGTAAAAAAGTAAAGATAAAGAATTTACAATATCACGAGAAGCAGCAGCAAATTCTACTTTGAATTCATTCTTATCATCCAAAAATTAATTTGTAATAGATAATAATTATAATATTAAATTTTGTAATTTTATTATACTACTATTAAAATAATAAAAAATATTTGTTGACATATAATATTTGTATAATATTCGATTGTATTCAACATTATTTTTTCAAGCCGTAACTCCGATTTTAAGTAAAAAAATTATAAAGAACGGTGTTTTTGACAGAGTTAACTTATGTTTGAAATTTGGCTGATATTGTGTACCCCCACATTATCGGCAGGAAAAAGATCACGAAGATCACGTGTGCGTGAACAATTGTTCACGCCAAGAATTTTATCACCAGGGTCACTTTATTGATATAAAAATACATTCGTTCATACTGTAATTTAAGTGGAATGATGTTTTTATATTAATGCACCAGCTTTTCGCTAACACATTATCCCATTCTATGATCAGGTTTTATTTATCATGCTAGGAATAAATTAGCATCAATCTTAGTAAATCCCGTCAAGAATTTATACCGCTCTTCTGTCTATTAACTTATAAGCCCAAAGGATACTTCATGCAAATGCACAGCTACGAAAAATATATACCTTGATTATGTAATCGAGGAGAATATTTGCATTATTTGGAAAAAATCCATACTAGAATCAAAGATCAAACACCATGGTGAAACACTTTTTAAATAGTTATTTCCTTTAAACGTATAGCAGATGATATTAATGATATAATAATCACAATTTTTTCTTATTATAAACAGCTCAAATAGCATAGCAAAGACATCAACTGTTAACATTTTCTTTTAGAAAAGCGTCTCCCTTCGCAAACAATAACATATAAACCAACAGCCCAATTATTTAATCAACTGACGGATTTGTGGGGAGTTTGGATCATCACGTACGAATCCAAATTTAATTTGATTTGGTGGGGTAAATGGAACTTTTCGACTTTTGAAATCTTCTGCCAGCTTGTTTGTTCGCTTCTATGAATAAAAAGTTCGTTATGATCTTTATATCACAAAAATGTAAATTGGCATAAAAAAAATGTATACCTCCAATTCTACAAAATGACAGAATGTAGATACTATGAGTGGCATTGAAGCTTTATCAATTATCAGTTTACTTTTACAGAAAGACCATGAACAGTAAATTCCGTCATAATTAAGCTCCATAAGAAATGACTCAATCACGTCGCCTAAATCATAAAAAATATGTTCAATAAATACATATTAATATATGTAAAACAAACAGTTCGTCATATACATACCCATATTTGTAAAAATTACAGACTTATCAGGACCACCTTTTAAACTTAGTTGTTGGTTGATGGACTTCTTTGCTCTTAGATTCACCTTCGCGAAATCTTTTTTCTTTTGCAATGGGGTGAACCCAAGTGGTTTTATTTCAGAGTTTAGTATTGGTACGTTATCAACAACACATGAAAAGTCTGGCCGTTTCCTAGAGCCAGCTGCTGAACGATTAAGCCTAACTTCATACACTTTTGGTATCATGAAGAGTGGCTTTATAAATGGGTGTAAATAATTACAACAATGGAGATCTTCAGAAATTTTACGGGGCGCTTCTACTGGAACATTATTCCTAAAAAATGTTAAAAAAGAATTAAATAAAATTATTCCTATATTTTAATTTTTTGCCAAAATATTATTAATTCAACTCACAAATCATTAAAAATTCTCCCAGCACATTTACTCAAAAATGATTCTTCTGCATTCATATAAATGCTTCTTCCGAAAACACATTCCTCTGCTGCTTCATATAGACTTGCTGAAATGGTTGATGGAATAGTATTTTTCTCAATACTATATGGATTAGTTTTTGTTATATAATCCCATTCTTCGAGCGTAAAATATTCATAAGGATATGGACACGGAGATGAAATAACGATAATCGATGCTAGTGCCCTGTAATACGATTGCAAATGTTAAACCTGAGAATATAATCTTTCTCTTAGAATTTTGGTTGTACAATACTTACAATATCTCATACGTATTGTCCCACTTCAGTAACCCTTTCTTCGCTTTATCAATTACACTCCATTGATATTGACGGAACTTTTGTGTTATGTTAATATTTCTTACAATCCACTGAAGCACATGAATAACATTAATAATGCGCCAGATGAAGGAATCAAAGGTTAACCCTCTTTACTTACCTCAGTATAAGGTTGCTTCTTTAATTGCTCTTCAATTTTTGTAATATCATCGATTTCAACTTGTTCATCAATATTTTCCGTGGAACTTGCAGAGATGAATTCTGAGTTTTCGTTTGTATATACGTCGCTGGAAGAAGTTTTTGAACTTAATGGTATCTCACTTTTCTTCGTGCTAACTTTACGCCTTTTTGATTTCCTGCTTTTCTTGAATCCTGGTGATTTTAACGGCTGTCCAGCTTTATGTAGCTCAGTGTCAATGTAATTACTGGAGTTCTCGGAAATATCATGAACTGCATCAAGGACTGTACTGTTTTCCAATTCGTTTTTTTTCCGCTTTGGTTGAATAGGCATGACGAAATCATCATCGATTCCGTCATGATCTTTCTAAAACATTGAAATGCAAATAATTAGTTCTGCTGATCCAGACTCAAATACTTCTATGTATAGTAGGTAGGAAAGACTTTATATTAATTTGTTAAGTATCAAAAAACTGAAATTTACAAAACGTTACCTTTTTACAATTTACATTATCTTTGTTGCAATTATCGTCTTCTGCTTTATAATCATCACAATCATCCTCTTCAAATGAATCGGAGGCTGATTCATAATAATCTGCTTGACGTTGGTTTTGTTCATGATTGTTGCTAACATCGATGGAAGTTGATAAGAGTGATGGATCACTACCTTTATTTAAATTACCATCGTTCTGGATCACAGGACAGGAATAGAGCATTCTTGAATAATATTACTCGGTCAAAAATAAAGACTGGTAAATTACCTTTTGTTTTTTAGAATGCATTTCTGCAACTGAAGCAAATATTTCCTCTTCTTTCTGCACATGGACTATTTTTTTCTGTACGTGCGCCATGGTCTATTGAACGTTATAAGTTTGCCATTCGGATCATAAATCAACATCAACTAAACCTTTTCATTAAGCAACAACCAACCTCATAAATGGACTTGCTATATTTTCCATTGTATATTCGTTCATACATCATTCGAAGGTCTTCCGTAAGTAACTTAGTTTCAGGAAGCTGAAATATATGGGATTCTGTAAGTGGTGAAGTGACGAAGCAGTGTCTCGTTATTGACATTCACCTCCTTATCTTCAGCAATCCGGTTAGCAATAACACGAATATGTTGTGGTATAGATCTTTGCTTAACTATCCAATCTAACGAGCTATAAAAGGCTGTCAAACACGTCTCCCATAGTGACAAATCACGTTCATCTTTACAAATCCAATCGATGTAATGCTTTAAACTCCATAAGCCGGCTTTAACTGAAGTGAAGTAACTGTGTACCATAACCAAATTTACTACGCAATCTTCTGCGAGTTCCATATTGAAAAAGTATAATTTTTGTTGATTAAAAAAATGACGCGAAAATTTGTGTTGCTTGCGCGAATAGGCTGAACCTCGTGATTTATGATTGTCGGTGAACTCACGTGACTTACCTTTTCAACAGACTTCGTGTGACGAACCTCTGGGAACGTGAACTTTGCTCAGATCTATTCATGTACAGACCAAGTGGCGGTGAATAGATTTATAAAAAGGCCAGTTTGTCATGTACAGACCTAGTGGCGGTGACAAACTGAAGGGAAATGACAGAGACTTCGTGCGGCCTAGTGGCGGCGAACCTCTGGGAACGTGAACTTTGCTCAGATCTATTCATGTACAGACCAAGTGGCGGTGAATAGATTTATAAAAAGGCCAGTTTGTCATGTACAGACCTAGTGGCGGTGGCAAACTGAGATCACTTCCTCCAGACGCTCCATGTGCGACCGAATTGGCGGTGGAACGTTTGGCTTTCCAGAAAAACAAGTAAAGAAAGTGGACGTAAAAAGTGGACGTAATATATTTTTATTTTATTGTACAAAGCAGATAAAAGAATTCACTAACCAGAGCCTCACGATTTGTAGTGGGTCTAATCGATTTGGAAATGAAAATTACGTTCTCTTGATCTCATCCCGACAAATCTGTTGGCCAAAATGAGTGAATATGCAATTGTTCCTGTGATACATGATGCATATACTAAAATGTACTATGGTTTCGTTGCAACTTGCATCTATTACTTTGCGAAATATATACGAGTTCATTTGATTGTAAATATCGAGATGCAAATAATGGTAGGTTTGAAATTTTATTAGAATTTCGTTTGATTTTTTGCTTGCTTATATTTGCGCAAGGTGGATAAAAGGGTTCACTAACCAGGGCATCGCCTTTTTATATAATTTATATAATTTGCAAGATCGATTTTGGAATACACTTTGGGGGGAAATTACGTTAATATGACCGCATCACAAAAATCTGATCAACCTCTCCTTAATTTAACAATAAAAGAATTTAATGCTATCCATATGTAATGATCATTAAGTCCCTTTTTTAATAATATACGTAATAATTTTGAGAATATGCTTGACATTACTTATTCCCGTGATACTGTGATACGTCATACGTCTATACTAAATGTTACTGCGCATTTATTGGTCAAGTTCCGGATTGATGATCTCTTTACAATAAAAGAATATATTAGCATATATGCTCGCATCACTTCCCACAATCCTATAACCCACTACATTATATATCTTAATTTGGTAAATTAATTGTGCCTGCTTTATTGATTGTATGAGAAAAAATAGGTCAAAAATAGATGAAAAAATATAATTTTATGTATGTTGTTCAGCCCATCCGAATATCTTCTCACATGACGCCTATGCTACGATCGCGAACCTAATTTATTGCTTGAACTGTTGCAGGTAAGACAGTATTCCGTTCCATTTCTATTCCATTCGCCATGCAATCCATAATTCCTATGTTTTCCATTGCAAATAGGACATGATGAGTCCCATGGCTGAGCTAATGCAAAATTATAATCATCAATCCCCCTAAAACTATTTCGGAATCTCAAGTATGTGAAATGCTCTAACACGGATCTGATAATTAATTCTGAATAAGGTTTGGCTTTGAAAGTGATAGGTCCTTTTCCTTCACATTGCTCAGAAAAAAATAAATAGGATACTTTGTTTTCTGGTTTCAAATTTATGAGAAGGTGGGCTTTTGATAATTATCATGGTTCATGTCCAGTTTCTTTCTTATATTTTTTGTATGAATCTTATCTGTTAAAATACTTGGTAAACCAGTTAATTTGGCATACCAATCCAGATATTCAGGGGTTAATATTTTATAGGACTTGAACTGAATATCAAAACTTTCAGATACCAGACAAATAAACTCCTTAAATTTTTGTACCCTTTTAGGAATAATGATTTCCAGTTTTTCATTGTATCATACTTCAAGAAGAAAAATTCCATTATTTTGACAAATGTATTGTTTTTTTCTGTTTATGATTAACAATATCTTCAAGTTTTTAGCATCCTTATATCAGCTAATGTTATGAAGCTGATGCTTAATTTTCTGCACCTTTAATACAATTTGATATTTTTGGAAGAAGGCATCAAGCTCTAATCCTTGTATGAAAGAGGAGTAATATTTGATTATAGATTTTTAATTAAGAATTTATTTAGCTATCTAGATATATCTAGTCTGAAACTTTTGCATTCTGAACCTTAATCTTAATAATTATAATCTCAAAACTATTAAGATGGTCTGATAAGATGCTTTAATTTATCTATCTGAACCTCAAAATCAGCATAATCCTTTTTGACAATATTCATAAACATTAATCTTAGCATTTATAACTTCAAGCTCAACTTTAAGCTTGAATTCTTAGCCTTAATCTTGACATTCATATCTTCAAGTTTAGCTTTCTTAACCAAAAGCTTAACTTTTTCTTATTCTAATAGATCAAGCTCAGATTGTATGATTGATAGTATTTTTATATAAGATAGGAATTATTCAAGGTTATGTTGTTAATACATGCATAAAATAAATACAAATATTTGAGATATAACCTAGGATACATATTATTTTAGATAAATTTTTGATTTTAGCTTTTTTACTAGCTGAAAAACTATCAATACTAATACGATCTTTCAATAATCCAATAATAATACCAATTATTCTTTTTACATTACTTTAAAGTAATTCAGGATTTTCTTTAATGGTGAACTTTATAAGATTAATTTGGTATTCTCTTCCACTCATTGAGTATATACTATTAGGGATATATGAAAAGTGTACTATTAAAATTAAAGTATAAATCATATAATTTATTATATCTTATATCTTAATTTTAATAGCTTATCACTCATAAATACACTTTGTATTTGTGATCACAATACCATAGATATAGTTAAAATTATCATTCCTAAATGCTTGATCTGTATTTTATTTCTTTTTATTTATCTAAAATACACTCTTAAATTATGTCAGATTTTAAAAAATAAAATGTATTAATATTGTTGAATCTCTAAAATACAATCTGAATGGTAAACTTATTTAAATATATTCAATTTTGATATTACATAGTTTTACCTTAGTAATATATAGAAGATCTTTTAAACTTTAATCATATAATTTATTTGACCTATTGTATTTCACCAGAAAAATTTTTTGTAAAATTATGAATATATCTTAAAAGGTGATATTTTTAGCTATAGTAATAGAAACATAAAGAATCAATGAAATAAATTTACAATATAAAAACATTTCAATAAAATCAAGTTATAAGACATAGTAAATAATATAATCTGTAATATGATTTTACTGAAAATGCTTCCATATATCATCTTGTTGATATCAGTTATATTTTTACATTTAAAAATTTAAGATAATATTATCCATATAATGATTAAGCATCTTATCATCATCATTGATATTTCAAATACTGCAGAAAAAAATAAGATTAATATAGCCAACTAATTAGTTTTGAAAAATTAATTAATTACATACTAGAAGTAAACTACTTGATATTTGTTATATCTTTCCTATTGATCTTATTTCTATGTTTTTTTTTGAATGTATATGCAAAATTAATATATCATACAAATTCTGATGATCTACTATTAACATGTAATTCTTGCGAATTATAACTGTTAGATAGGATGTCAGAGTGTTATTTCTTTTTAATGTATGTAGTAATCTACTGATTTATTCCTAAGTCCCGAACTTATAACTTATGTCATTCAAACATATTGATTTAATATTTTACTAAGATATTAAGCTATCACAAAGATCCAATTGTCTTTACACAGATTAAATATAAAAGACCTGATTGTATTTACACAGATTAAATACAAAAGATCTGATTGTCTTTACACAGATTAAATACAAAAGACCTGATTATCTTTACACAGATTAAATATGAAGACCTGATTGTCTTGTAGGTTTATACTCAGATTGCAGCTTATCACTAAGACTTATCCATCACGCAGACTTGTAGATTTTACTCTAATATTTAAATATCATGTTATCATTTATAGATCACACAAATGTAAATAATAAAATAGTTTATTTATTATAAAATAAATAAATAAAGATTAAAGAATTATTACACAACTCTGAGTAAAATTCTCTAAAAATAAAAGAAAAGAATAAAATATATAAGAAGAATATTAGCATCAGGCTAGAGGAAATCTAACTCCCTACTTTTCCAATATTTACAAACCATTCTATTTATATAAAATAATTTACATAGAAAAATAAAACTAATATATTATTCATGTCTAATAAATCAAATATATCTATTATGTCTGACTTGTTTAATATGTCCTATTTGTTGAACATGTCAGATATAT